CAGTTCAAACTCACCAGCCGCTCCTCAGAAAGTTGAGTTGGAACCGACTTGATGGCACTTAACCACAACAATCCAGAAAGAGCCAGGTTGTCTGGTACTTGGGTCAGGAAAAAGGGTTGTCTGGAAAATGAGGGAGCAGAGCCCTCTGTCTTCTTAGAGGCAACGAGCTGACAGAGGAAGAGGCTAGACTGTGTGGAGCAGGTGAAGTTTGTCTTTGGGTCCCTTTGTCTGCTCCTCTGGCCACCCCAAATAATGCTTCTGGTAACGTTCCCACATCTACATGTTTGCGATGTATGTAACCTTTCACGTGCTTCTCACATTTCCACAAGTGAATGGGATCAGAGACACGTTCATTCAATTTGTGTGGGCTAAGCATCCAGACCAGGCCAAAATGTAGAGGGCTGCTGGGCAGAGCGGTGGAGCAGCCCTGCAGAGGAGACCCTGGACAGTCAGAGAGGCTAGGACACTGAGTGGGTAGAGGTGAGGGTGTGGGAAGCGTGGGCTCAGTCTGCAAGTTGGGGCTCCAGTTGGGTCATTTATGTGGGTCTTAATCCCTTTATCTCCTCCTTTGGAGACTGGGGTGGAGGAGCACCTAGCCTATTTGGCAGGACAGTGAGAAGCTGTGAGAACATAATGGATGTGAAAGTACCATTTGTCAAATGAGGTAATGGATGTAAAAATGAAAAAGAACTACATTGGCAGGCCAAAGAGAAAGGTGAGACCTTTACCTGGCTCACTGAATAGAGAAGGCAAGAAAGACTGCACTGGAGTGCGGAAGTATCCTTGGGGGCTTTTGGTAGGAAGAGGGCAGAATGAAAGTATTTTGTGCTTTGCTGCAAATAAAAGACAAAAATAAGGGGTCCCAGACACAAAGCTGGGGGCATAGCATTGGCTGCTTCATAATTTTGTTCAGGGTTGCCCTGGGTGAAGGAACCAGAAGCCAAACATCTTTCAAAGTCAAATTGCCCATTTCCCCCAGGAAGGCAGTCACATGACTTCTAGACAGCTGAACTCTTGTCATTCATCACTGCTTGCCTTCAGAGTCACTCCCATCTCTCCAGGCATTTAGCAAATTTCAGAGGGACTGAGCTGCAGATGCGGAGAGATGCAAACCCTTAGAGAGAAGGGACAACTTCCATTCGAATTTTTAAATGGCTTTCTGGTCTGTTAATGGAGGTGTTTGTCCCCTTGACCAAGGATAGTTTGGAAGGCCCAGACAGTGTGAGGAAAGGGCTGCTGGTAGAATTTGGAGGGAGGGTCTACTTAGCAACATTTAATTCAACTCAGTTAATGGTACCAGTAACATCCCCATGACTACATGTTGGTTGATGATATGTGTATCCTTCCACGTGCTTCTGGAACTGTGGTCTCATTCCCACAAGTGAATGGGTTCAGAGACACGTGTGGGCTGAGCATCCAGACCAGCCCAAAATGTGGAGGGCTGCAGGGCAGAGGGGTGGAGCAGCCCTGCAGAGGAGATTCTGGACAGTCAGAGAGGCTAGAACATTGAGGGGGTACCGGTAAGGGTGTGGAAGCGTGGGCTCAGTCTGCAAGTTGGGGCTCCAGCTGGTTCACTTATGAAGGTCACCATCTCTTTATCTCCTACTTTGGAGGCTGGGATGGAGGAGGCACCTAGCCTATTTGGCAAAACAGTGGGAAGCTGGGAGGAGATAATGAATGTGAAAGCACCATTCTTCAACCCAAGGATGAATGTCCTGCCGCTACACCCAGAGACATACCTATTTTGAGCGAGAAATAACTGCCCTCTTGCAGGAAGATGGAGGCCACCTTCCTTATTGAGCCCTCTGCCTCCTGTCATCCAACCTTGTCAGCAGTAAAGTCTCTCTTAGGATGATACCAGCTCATTTCCGACAGAGCTTGGGTTCTTGTATTTCTTCCCATCGCTGCCATTTCCTGCTCATCCAGCGCAGTTCCTACCTCCTCCTTGAAGCCACTTCCAGCTTATTCATCCCGCTTCTGAACACACAATTTGGAACATAATTAGAGATTTTATATATTCTTACGTGCCCCTCAGATTATCTTGTTCAGTGCCCACTAGTCTTTTCACTGCAGTTAGACTGGAAGCTCTTTGAAGGCAGAGATCTGTAACCTTTCATGTCCCCAGGAGCTCTGGACTGTCTGACAGTAGGCACTTAATAAATACTTGTTGATTGATTAACATGAGTTAAAAGAGAAAAACAAAATACTTGTATCACAAAAGGTTCTTTGCTGGTTGGTTCATTTGGCTCAGGAGTGCCCATTTTCATCACTCCTGGCAGTGCCTCAAGGTTCAGTGGAGACTAAGCTGTCCCTGGTTTTAGAGAAAGAAAGAGATGGCAAAGCTGAGGCTGTAGTGACCAGGGGCCCTAAGTACAGGCCAGTGGACTAAGAGGATCTTCCTGCCACTCTCCCTGCTTCCCATGCCACAAACTGTGCAGATCCTTAGACTCTCATTCTGCTCTGGCTGAGGCCCATGTCGGAAATGAGCTGGTGTCATACCAAGAAGAGGCACTTGAATGCTGATAAGGTTGGATGACAGGAGGCAGAGGGCTCAATTCAGAAACAGCCCCTGCAGTGAGGCAAGACAGCAGCTGCAAGAAGATGTTCTCTGGCCCCCTTCAAGAATAAGCTTCTGCCACCAGGAGGAGAAATAAGAGACACACCATCCTGAGCCACCCTTGCTGAGCTCCTGTCTTGGGAGGGTTCCTATTTAAGACATCACCAGTTACATTCCTGCTTCTGAGGGACTTCCTATGGAAAAAGTAACCATTTGTTTTACTAGAAAGAAGCCACTGCCACTGAGTCAATTCTGACTCATAGCAACACTATATGACGGAGTAGAACTAACCGACTGTTTCTTAGAGTTTTCGAGGCTGTAGCTCTTTACTGGAGCAGACAACCTCTTCTTTTCTTCTGCTGACCTTGTGGTTAGCAGCTCAGTGCTTAATCCACAGCACTGCCAGGGATCCAGCTTCTGAATTTGCCTTCAGGAGGCTTGACCTCATCCCCAGCAGCCTGTCCCACCTTCCTAAGTGGCGGCAGATAGACAGACTCCACACCAGCTTAGGGACAGCCAGAGTTTATGTGACTGGACTCCAATCAGCCATATTCTGTCTTCCTTCCCAAGTTCTTGTATGATAGAGACAACTCCAGAGTCCTTTGCTGGACTATGAATTCTCTTTTATACAATTATTCTAAATCTGCTCACCTTCCCCCATAAATAGTCCTTAACCTCCATTCTGATTACTGAATCTGTGTTCCAATAAACAACCTGATTGCTCAAAGTCCTTAGCTAGTCAACACTGCTTCACTCTCATAGTGTCAAAACCTCCTACTTCTTTTATAAACTATACTATTTGATTAATTAGCTCCCATTCCTCCTTATTTATTTATTTATTTATTTATTTTTGGAAGGGCCCTGTCTAAAGCCCTAATTTAGAAAACTTAGCTCCATCTATTAGGCCTGATGAAACTGGTAGCACAGGGGTTAAGTGCTCGGCTACTAACTCAAAGTTTGATGGTTTGAGCCTAGGGAGAAAACTGTGGCCGTCTGCTCCTGTGAAGATTAACAACCTTGAAAACCCTATGGGACAGTTCTACTCTGTTCTGTAGGGTTGCTATGAGTTGCGTCTACTGAAACACAGGCTTTTGGTGTATTAGACTTGAGTGTCGGGGGTAGAGTTGTACCAAATCACACTTGGTCTTGCTTTCATTTCCACCTGCCTTACCCTTTGGCAGGGCCGTTCATTCTCCTTTTTTATCTCCTTTCCTGCCCCTAGGAGCCCTGGTAGCATAGGAATTATGCATTGGGCCAATAATTTAAAAGTCACCAATTTGAATCTACCAGCAGCTCCATGGGACACAGGGTCGCTATGAGTCAGAACCGGCTTGATGGCACACACACAACCAGGGGCTCTGGTGGAGTACTGGGTTACATGTTGGGCTGCTAACTACAAGGTAACAATTTGAATTCACCAGCCACTCCGCTGGAGACAGACAAGACTATCTATACCCATAAAGATTTACAGCCTTGGAAATCCAAGGGGAGGGAACAGTTTTACTCTATCCTATAGGGTCACTAGGAATTAGAATCAACTTGATGGCAGTGGTGGGTTTCCCTGCTCCAGGAACCCAGGACCCTCACAGCCTCAGTACCCCTCTGCCTTCACTTGCTTTGCCTGCAGTATGCCTCACTCTGCCCCTTGATGTAGAATCTTAATAAAATCTTTGTGTGGTTTCTAAGCATCAGTAACTTATGTTGTAGACATCAGAACAATCTGTAGAATCTTTGCCAGGTACTGACACAGCAATTTACCTTCTCCCAGCTCATCTGGGTTTCAGTTCTGCTGGAGGCCACAGGGAGCAGTATTCTTTCTTGCCCACAGGATCCATTTTCCATTTGGCCCGTTAACTGAAATAATTTGGCATTATGTACAATTGTGTAAGTTAATTGTCGTCCATGTGAGCAAATAGACTTATATGTGCCTTGTAAATAGCTTCGTTTCATATATAACCTAAGAGATATTAAAGTTTAAAATTGAATAAAGGCTTTATGAAGAGCCTGCACATTCTGAGTGATTTCACATTTCTTCCCCCACTTACCTGTTTTGTGGTTTGGTTTCTCCCCTCAAGGTGTTGGCCTCCCATAGGGAGTTAGTGGCCAATTCAATGAGTGGTAACAGTTAACTTTCAGAATAACACATTCGCCGATGGATGGGCTTCTTCTAGAGTCCCAGTGTCTTGGAGGAAAGGGATGACTCCAGTGTCAAACTCTGCAGCACCCATTTCTTCGGTAGGCCCTAGCGTGGAAGAGGAAGGTTTTTCCATTCTAGACTCTCTGTCTCCAGTCTGAAAATCGAGGGAGCCATATCCTCTGCAAGTTGCAGAGATGTGTGAAGCTAAGCATGTGAACTTCTGGGTACCTTGGCCATAACCCTCACCAGAGGCTTAGTACCCTTTGCATCTTGGTTTGCCCCCATCTTCCCCTTTCCTTTCCTCAGTCATGTCATGAAGGAACAGAGCACAGGTGCTATGGGATGTGAGCAGCTGCCTGCAGAGACACTACAGCAAGTGACCCTTCTCTGAGACCCAGGGTGGTGTGATCTGTGAGGCCAGGTAGGTGTCCTCAGAGTGTCCCTCAAGCCCTGCCTCCTATTCCCTAACATCCACCCATCTTTCCAAGGAGCAGAGCTCTCCAGGATACCCTGTGGCCTGGGAATTCATGAAATAATAACTTTGTGAAGGAGCTGGCCTTTGAAGACTGATAGACACAAAACCATTGTGGCTTCTTAGGGGCCTAGTCAGAAGCTGTGGTTGATGGTGCAGTAGGGTCTGGCTCTTAATAAAGTTTCCCTTTGCACAGAACAATCATAGAAGAGCCATCATGCCTTAGATGAGAAAGTAGCAACCTATTCAATTCAGCAAGTCTTTATAGATTGCTTACTTGAAACCCAGGAGTCTTCCTGTTGTTGTTAAGTGCCATCAAATCATTTCCGACTCACAATGACCCTGTATAGGGTCTCAAAGGAGTGGCTAGTGGATATGAACTGCCAGCCTTGTGGTTAGCAGTCCAGTGCTTATTCTATAGCACCACATCAGTACTCCAAAACATAATTCCCGTCCTCAAGAATCTCATAATCAGGCTGAGGAGACTATAATGTACTCATGAAGCAGGTCAGCTACTTGAGACCAGAATTTACAAACCAGAGGTGTAAAAGGAAGAGACAAGAAGGAAAAAAAAAAAAAAAAATCTCTAAATGCCAGAGTGGCAATAGCAACAGCTAACATTAATTAAGCACCTACTACATGCATCGTCAGATTATCCAGTAAGCAAAGCAAGCATTGATTTACTTGTGCTTACTTACTAATCTGTAATGAACAATTTCACTTTTTTTTTTTTTAAGGGAAATTGTTCATTAAAGATTCTGTGTATGACTGGCATCTGACTCTTTTCCCAACTCCACAGTATCAAAGTCTTCCTACAACATCAAAATCTCTTTTCCAATTGACAGTCTCTGACAGGGACTGAAAGAGCTCTGGTGGCACTGTTGGATAATCACTGGACGACTAACCAAAATGTCAGCAGTTCAAACTCACCAGCTGCTCCATGGGGAAAAGATGAGGATTTCTGTTTCCATAAAGATTTACAGTCTTGGAAACCCTAATAAACAGGGTCGCTGTGGGTTTGGTTTTGAACTCAGACAGTGTATAAAGTAGAAAAGGTAAGCATACACTTACTTGTGCATTACTTACTGTCTTACTTATCTAGTACTGCTATAGCAAAAATACCACATTTCTTCTCTCACAGTTTAGGAGGCTAGAGACCCAAACTCAGAACACTGGCTCTGGGGAAAGGGCCTTGTCCTTGTCTCCTTTCAGATCCCCATGTCTTTGCATCAGTCTCTCCCCCCCCACCCCCGATCTGGGAGCTACCAGTGTAGGGACCCGAGGTCCAAAGGAAACAACCTGCTCTTCTTCCTTCATGGTAGTCGTCATTGTGAAGTGCTGTCGAGTCTGTTCCGACCCATAGCAACCCTGTATAGGGTTTTTGAGGAGCAGCTAGTGAGCTTGAACTGCCGACCTTGCAGTTCAAATGGCTTCGCAGTCTAGCGTATTAACTCACAGCGCCACAGTTGTTGTTGTTGAGTGCCGTCGATTCCGACCCATAGTGACCCTGTGTAGGGTTTCTGAGGAGCAGCTGGTGAGCATGAACCACCGACCTTGCAGTTCAAACAGCTTTGCAGTCTGGCACATTAACCCACAGTGCCACACACAGCGCCACAGTTGTTGTTAAGTGCCGTCAAGTCGGTTCCAACCCATAGCGACCCTGTACAGGGTTTCTGAGGAGTGACTGGTGAGCTTGAACCACCAACTATGCAGTTCAAACGGCTTTGCAGTCTAGCACATTAACCCACAGCGCCATACCAGGACTCCAGGTACCGTTAAACTCTGCTTGCTTGTTTAATTTCATTTATATCTCAAAAGAGATTGATTCATGATACAACTGAATGTTGTATATTGCAGCCAGCCTCATTAACATCATAGAAGTGAGGATTTACAACACACAGGATAATCACATCAGATCACATCATGGTGGAAGTGATTACATTATATTAGAGCTCATCCTGGGGGGTTACTATGTCTTACCTGCCAAAGCACTGAGAATCTAAGCCCAGCCAAGTGAACACAAAACCTTAACTATCACACTTACTAATCCGTAGTGAACAGTGTCTTATTTGTTGAAACTCTTCACTACAGATTAGTAAACAAGCACAAGTAATCCCACGCTTATAATGCTTAGTAGGTAATCTGCTCCTGAACTTGGCAGCTAACAGAAAGGTTGGCAGTTTGAACTTACCAGCTACTCTGTGAAAGACAAAATGTGGCATTCTGCTACTGTAAAGATTACAGCCTTGGAAATCGTACATACATTAGAATTGATTCGATAGTACACAAACAACAACATACTTTGCATCATCTCATTTAATCCTCATAACCAAGCCTGCAACATAAGTGAGAGCATTCCCATTTTACAGAGGAGGAAATGGAGACATAGAGAACAGAACTTATTTGCCCAGGGTCATGCAACCTAGGACGTAGCAGAGGCAGGAATTGCACCAGGGCCTGTCTGATGCCACACTGGTCACTTGGGCTTGAATGGGACCATGTAGGTTGGAATAAACGAAAGCTCAACCTGAACTATGAAACCCTGCCATCATGAATGAAATGGGAAAGAACCAAAACACTGTTTTTTTTCCAGATCTGCTAGACATTGACAGAAAAGACAGACGAAAAGCTTTATTCCTGTTCTTGCTGGGCCTGAGGCTTTAGATGTTTACAACAGTTTCTCGCTCAGTCAAGAGGAGCAGCCGGAGTACAAACTGGTCTTGCAGAAATTTGATGAATTTTGCAGTCCTCCAAGGAAAAGAAAAAGGTTTTTGTACATTTTCTCTTTAACTAGAGGGCACACAGAGAGAAAACAACAACAACAAAAAACACCAAATCAGTATAGGCGTTAGTGGCTGACCTAAGGCTCCAGAGTCAGTCATGCAATTGGGCAAAACACTTTTGAGTCTCTGATCAGAAATCATTTTTGTCCTGGGAAAGAGAGACCAGAGACAACTTAGTAACAGAACACTAGGAGCCCCTGCTTTAATATCAAAGGCAGGTAGAATTCCTAGGGCTGAAGGAAGCCCCCAGGCCTAGAAGGGAAGTCAGAGTCAGCAGCAATTAGTATGAGAGTGAAGAGGAAGGAGTTGGAGGAGTGGAAACATAGAAAGCTCCAGGTGAGCACCACAGAAAGCCATGGGTCTGGTAGGCACAGCCTGATAAAAGACTTGGGGTGGTCCGCAGGACTGCTGCTGGCCCAGGTCATCCCTGAATGCAAAGGACTTGTTTGGTGCTGTAGTTGAAACCATTTAGAAAAGGCAGTTGTCACCTAGTCAGTTCCAACTCATAGCAACCCTGTTTAGGGTTTCCAAGGAATGGCTGGCAGTTTTGAACTGCTGACCTTGTGGTTAGCAGTTCAGTGCTTATCCTACAGCACCACACCAGGACTCTAAGAAAAGACAGTTGTTGTTGTTGTTGTTAAGTGCCGTCAAGTCAGTTCCGACCCATAGCGACCTTGTACAGGGTTTCCGAGGCTGTAAATCTTTACGGGAGCAGAAAGCCTCATCTTTCTCCTGCGGAACAGCTGGTAGTTTCGAACTGCTGACCTTAAGGTTCGCAGCCCGATTTGTAACCACTATGCTACCAGAGCTCCTTAAGAAAAGACAGTAAGTACCCAATAATGGGGAGTCCTGGTGTGGCGCTGTGGGCTAATGCGTCAAACTGCAAAGTCATTTGAACTGCAAGGTCGGTGGTTGAAGCTCACCAGCTGCTCCTTGGAAACCTAATACAGGGTCACTATGGGTCAGAATTGACTCGACAGCACTTAACAACAACCTAATAATGGAGCAGTTGTGGTTGAGCAAGCCAACAAATTATTCCCTGAAAGTAATAGTAGATTGACATTACCACTGCCATCAAAGAGTCAAGGTCTCTTGGAAGGAACGAAAGAAGGAAAGAAGGAGGGTGGTAGGGAAGCCTCCATCGAAGGGATTGGCATTTGGGGAAGAAGGGATAAAAGGAGGATGATAACTGTAAGAAATTATCTCTTGGAGGATGTAATACCCAAGCTCACTGTTGTCAAGTCAATTGTGACTCATAGACATTCTGTTGGATGGAATAGAACTGCCCCATGGGGTTTCCAAGGCTGTAAATCTTTACAGAAGCCAACTGCCACATCTTTCATACATGGAACTGCTGGTGGATTTGAACAGGTCTCTTTGGCTGCAAATAATGTATTCTTAACCACACTATCCAGGAGCTCTGGTAGCGTAGTGGTTACGAATCAGGCTGCGAACCGTAAGGTCAGCGGTTCGAAACTACCAGCTGCTCCGCGGGAGAAAGATGAGGCTTTCTACTCCCGTAAAGATTTACACCCTCGGAAACCCTGTACAGGGTCGCTATGGGTCGGAACTGACTCGATGGCACTTAACAACAACAACAACAACCACACTATCCAGTCCTGAAGGTGCTGGGCTGCCAAAAGATTTTGCTTAATGGGTTTAAGTCCATTCCATTTCAGGTTAGCTTAGCAGCCAGGCACTTTAATCACAACACCACCAGGGCTAATAATAAGTACCATTTATTGTATTCTAACATCAGGGACTGTTTTCAGTGTTGCACGTTCATCTCAGTTATCATTTATCTTCCTAACATTCTTATGATACACGTTGTTAGGTGCTGTTGAGACAGTTCAGACTCATAGCGACACTATGCATAACACAACGAAACACTGCCCTGTCCTGCGCCATCCCCACAATTGTTATGTTTGAGTCATTGTTGCTGCCACCTTGTCAATCCATCTCACTGAGCGTCTTCCTCTTTTTTGCTGAGCATCTTTTTTACCAAGCATCATGTCCTTTTCCAGAGACTGGTCCCTCATGATAGCATGTGCGAAGTACCTGAGACATGTTGTTGTTATTAGGTGACATCGACTCAGCACTGACTCATAGCAACCCTATGCAGCACAGAGTGAAACACTGCCTGGTCCTGTGTCAACTTCACAATCATTGGTAAGCCTCAGCTCATTGTTGCCGCCATTGTGCCAATCCTTCTTGTTGGGGGTGTTCCTCTATTTCTCCGACCCTCCACTTAAACAAACATGATATCCTTCTCCAAGGATTGGTCCCTCCTGATATGAAGTATGAAAGAAAAGTCTGGCCATCCTGGCTTCCAACAAGCACTCTGGCTGTGCTTCTTCCAACACAGATTTGTTTGTTCTTTTGGCAGTTCATGGTATTTTAATATTCTCCTCTAATACCATAACTCAAATGCATCAATCCATCTATGGTCTTCCTTAGTAACTATCCAACTTTTACATGCATATTATTGAAAAAACCATGTCCTGGGTCAGGTACACCTTTGTCATCAAACTGACATCTTTGCTCTTCAACAGTTTTGCCTAATGCTGTACGTCTTTGATTTCTTGACTGCTGCTTCCATGAGTGTTGATGACTGCTTCGAGCAAAATGAAGTCTTTGACAACTTCAATCTTTTCTCCATTTATCATGATGTTATTTATGGGTACAGTGGTGAAGATTTTTGTTTTCTTTACATTGAGATGGAAGCTCTGTCCTCTTCTTGGCTTTCAGCAAGCAAGGTTGTAGCAGCTGCATATTGTAGGTTGTTACCTCCAATCCTGATGATATGTTTTTCTTCATATAATCAGCATACGTATTGAGTAAATATGGTGAAAGACTACAAGCCTGGCATACACCTTTCTTAATTTAAAACCATTCAGTGTTTCTTTGCTCTGTTTGAACAACTGTCTCTTGGTCTATGTATAGGTTCCTTATGAGCACAATTAAGTGTTCCAGAATACTCATTCTTCACAATGATGCCCATAGCTTGTCATGAGCCACACAATTGAAAGCCTTTGCGTAGTCAGTCAAGCACAGGTAAACATCTTTTTGGTATTCTCTGCAGTCAGTCAAGATCGATCTGACGCCAGCAATAACATCCCTTGTTCCATGTCTTCTTCTGAATCCAGCTTGAACCTCTGAAAGTTTTCTGTCAATGTATGATTGCAGCCATTTTTTGTATTATCTTCAGCAGTAATTTACTTGCATACATATTAATGATATTGTCCAGTGATTTCTGCATTCTGTTGGATCACCTTTCTTTGGAATGGGCACAAATAAGGATTTCTTCCAGTCAGTTTGCCAGTCTTCCAAATTTCATGGCATAGATGAGTGAGTGCCTCCCGTGCCGCATGTTTGCTGAAAGATTTCAATTTGTGTTCCATCAATTCCCAGTCCCCTGTTCTTTGCCAATGCCTTCAATGCTCCTTGGACTTCTTCCTTCAATATCATTGACTCGTGATCATATGCTACCTCTGGAAATAGTTGAATATCAACCATTTCTTTTTGGTAGAGTGACTCTGTGCATTCCTTCCATCTTTTTTTTGATGCTGTCTGCATCATTCAGTATTTTGCCCATAGAGTCCTTCATTATTTTAAGTAGAGGCTTGAATTTTTTCTTCAGTTTCCTCAGTTTAAGGAATGCTAAGTGTGTTCTTCTCTTTTGGTTTAACTCCAGGCCTTTGCACATTTCATTATACTATTTAACTTTGCCTTCTCCAGATGATCTCTAAATTCAGGTAGGATATGTTCAAGGTCATATTGTAGGCTTGTTTTAATTTTCTTCAGCTTCAGCCTAACTAGTATTTGAGCAATTGATGGTCTATTCAACAGTCTTGCCCTGGCCTTGTTTTAGATGATGATGGGGAGCTTTTCCACCATCTCTTTCCATGTTGTTGTTAAGTGCCATTGAGTCGGTCCCATACCCATAGTGACCCCATATAGGGTTTCCGAGGAGCGGCTGGTGAGCTTGAACCTCTGGCCTTGCAGTTTAAATGGCTTTGCAGTCTGGCATATTAACCTACAGCGCCACACCAGGACTCCATCTCTTTCCATAGATGTAGTCAATTTGATCATCACTAGCTTTAGTGGTTGAGTGGTATTAACTGGTCATCCTTGACGGTGTATGGATATTATCCTATCATTGTTGTTGTTGTTATTAAGTGCCGTCGAGTCGGTTCCAACCCATAGCGACCCTGTACAGGGTTTCCGAGGGTGTAAATCTTTACGGCAGTAGAAAGCCTCATCTTTCTCCCATGGAGTGTCTGATAGTTTCGAACCGCTGACCTTAAGGTTTGCAGCCCGATTCGTAACCACTACGCTACCAGAGCTCTTCAAGACAGGTCTTGATATGTTCTTTTTGATGAGGAATGTGAGGCCATCCCTCGTCAATTTGTCATTCCCGGTGCAGCAAACCATGGTTGTCTGATTTAAAATGGCCATTACCAGTCCATTTCACCTAATGCCTAGGATATTGATGTTTATGTGCTCCATTTCATTTTTGACAATTCCCAATTTTCCTAGATTCATATTTCGTACATTCCATGCTCCGATTATTAATGGATGTTTATAGCAGTTTCTCTTCATTTGAGTTGTGCCCCATCAGCAAATGAAGGTCCCAAAGTTCCATTTGCGTCATCACAGTCAACTCTACTTTGAGGAGGCAGCTCTTCCCCAGTCGTATTTTGAGTGCCTTCCAACCTGAGGGGCTCATCTGTCGGCACTGTATCTAACACTATTCTGGTGCTCTTAATCCTCTTTCTATATTCAGTATTCTGGTGCTGACAGTTTTCCACTGCCATTCATGAGGTTTCCAGTGACTAAATATTCGGAAGTATTCCCTCTCTCCTTCTCCTAGTTTGTTGTTTCTGGAAGCTCAGCTGAAATGTGTCCACCATGGGTGACCCTGCTTGTATTTAAAATACCCATGGCATTGCTTCCTGAATCATATCACATAAGTCACTATATCATGCCAATTAAATGAGTTGTCTCTTGAGAGTATGGTTCTAAGCTTTCAAACCCAAAGAGTTAATAATCTTGCAAGGTGATGCATTATGTCTAAATAATATCCATAACTGTGACCCTGTCTTGGTTATCTAGTGCTGTTATAACAGAAATTCTACTAGTGGATGTCTTTACCAAGCAGAAATTTGTTCTCTTACAATTCAGCAGGCCAGAAGTCTGAATTCAGAGCACTGGCTCTGGAGAAAGCCTTGTCTCTTTTCAGCATCTGTAGGCCCAGCATTCCTTGGAGACCTCCATGTGTGATGGCATCAGCCTGTCCCTGCATCTAAGAGCTTCACAGTACAGGGATCCCAGGTCTTCTTTCTTTGTGGTAATAGTTCCCCCAGATATAGGTACTATTACTTTTCCCACTTTACAGATGAAGAAAGAGACTTAGAGGGATGAACTATCTTGCCCAAGATCACAAATTTTTTTGTACAATTTTTTTTGCACAAATTTTGCAAATAATATATACTCTTAACTATTACACTATACAGCTTTGAAGTCACTGTGCTGTCAACAGATTTTGCCTATTGGTTTAGGCCCATTCCATTTCAGGTGTGAATCCTGCTGGCTGTGTCCACATAGTCACCCTCAGCACGCAGGTCCCACACTTCAGAGCCATTGAGCTGTGCTCAAATGACGTATGTGCTTTGTATGTTAATGTTTTTGGAATTGGGTGCAAACTCCATTCCAGAATGAGCAGTGGCCCTTTGAAGTGCACATAAAAAATGTCAAGTCTGGCTTGAGATTGGGGCATGACATTAAAACATTTCTTTCGTGCTTGAATTAGGCTGGGTCTGACGCCTGTTCTTCCTGAGTCTCTAGAAAGCTTTGCTCTGAGCCTTATTGCACCCCTCTACAACCCAAGCAAGAATGTATTGTCATCAGACGATCTGCTTTCTTATCCTTGGCAGTAGAGATGGGAAGGAGATAAAGCAAATTTCCAGCTCCCCATGATTTAGGGTCTATGCCTGGTCTCCCTCCTCATTTGTTGGGGAACAGCATCTCTCAGTGTTGAAAGAAAATAAATTCCTTAGGTTGAAAGAAAATAAAATCCCCTTGTCTCCAGGCAAGTGAATGCCTAAATCATTCCAAACTAGTCAAGTGAATATGAATAATGTTCAAGTAAGAAGATTCTTCAGCCTCTTCTTGTCACCTGTGCCACCTTCCAGTAGTCTGGAAGTCATTCGTGTGCCTAAGCAAATCCCTCCTAGTGAAATAGAACTTCACATTCCTTTAGTACCAAGCCAGTGAAGTACTTCTTAATCTTGTCTGAGTTCCAGACCTGGGCTTGGAATCTTGCTTGGAACCTTTTACTGCCTACCACTCCCAGTTGACGGAGGTCTTCTCCATTCTCTTTCTTTCTCTCTCTGCTCTCCGTCTGCCAAAAGCAGCTGCAGCCGAGAGCTTGAATAGTATCCCCTTTCCACCACCGCCACCACTCAGTCTGTAGGCTTGGCGCTGGTGACTCTTGCCCAGACTTGCGCTTTCCCTCATACCTTTCTCCTCTCCTATGCAGGAGGTCCCTCTGAGGACAAACTCCTGGCTGATGACCAGACTGTGGCTGTTAATGAGGAGGAAGTTAGTGAAGCCTCCAGGGGGAGATTCATAAAACTCATCAGGTAAAAGGGGCCTCTTATACCTTGACAGTGTTTCTCTGCTATTCATAAGGTTTTCAGTGACTAAAGATTTGGAAGTAGTTCGTCACTCTTTCTTCCTAGTCTGTCTTTGTCTGGAAGCTCATCTGAAACCTGTCCACCATGGGTAACCCTGCTGGTATTTAAAATACCGGTGGCATAGCTTTCAGAATCACAGCAACTCACAAGCCACCACAGCATGACAAACTGACAGACGAGTGGTGGCTGTTTGGTTTTAAGTGGAAACTGTCACTTTAAATTTCGAGGAGATCTGTGCTCATGTGTAGTAGAATCCTCCAGCGGTGGGGGTGGGGTGTCCTGGCAAAGGATATCATGTTTGGTAAGGTGGAGGGTCAGAGAAAAAGATGAAAACCCCCAATGAGTTGGATTGCCCAAGTGGCAGCATCGTGGCAATAGTAGTGTGGTTGGCCCAGGATCGGGCAGTGGTTCGTTCTGCTGTGCATAGGGTCACTGTGGGTCGGTATCGATTCGATGGCACCTAACAAGAACAACATGCATGCCTTGACAGGAACTAAACAGTACCCTTACCCTTGTCCCACCAGTGGTATCAGGCTACCATTGACCTCCCTGGCCCCCATAGAGGACCCCTGCCAGGAGAACTTCCCTCGCCAGGGCTACTGGTTACCCAGGACTTCAGGAACCAGCCATTCAAGGTCACAGAGATCCCTTACTCCTTCTGGTGGGCCTTTTTTTTTTTTTTTCTTAAATGATTTATTGTGAATTATGTGATAGTATACATGGGAGAACATTAGTTTTACATTCATCCTGTCATATATTGTCTCATTGCCATGGTTACAATCCCCTCCATGCAATCCCGTGCCCCCCAGGTCTTCAGCACACAGTCGCTCTCCCTCTCTGGGTCTAGAGTCTCCAGCTGCTCCATAGCTCCACATCATCATCTCTGGCTCCATTTCAGGCATCGCTGTTTCTTTGGGTAGGGTCCCGCTCTCTGCTCTTCTCCCTTGATGGTCCTAGGGACCTCCGCTCCTAGACTGAAAAGTTAATCACTCCCCTCCTTGCTATAAAACATCCACCTTTACATTTCTGACCCTCACAAACAGTCCTGATAACAATTATTCACTATTGTATCACAAGAGACCCGTCTGTATTTCATTTCATCAGCCCCGCCTAGTCAATTTGAATACTACTCACTGGAGATTCTACCTTCCTCTAGGCCCTCTGGGTCTAGGTTCCCTCTTGAAAGCTTGTAAGCCAGTCACTTCTTGCCTTTGTAGCCCTCCACCCCTCATTTTGGGTAGCCAATGTCCAAGTTGCCCATCCCTGTCTACTCTGTATGTGGAGGGGGTGGGAATGATTCTTGCTGTAAGTCTGGTGGGCCTTTTTAAGTAGTGTGAATACACACAAAGAACACCTTCCTGTTAAGGTTTCACTCCCACTTCCTTCCACCCAACATCTCCCTCACCCAAGCCTCATGGTTTTTTAGTTACTACATAGTGGAGCACTGGTAGCGTCGTGGTTACGAATCGGGCTGTGACCTACAAGGTCAGCAGTTTGAAACTACCAGCTGTTCCACTGGAGAAAGATGAGGCTTTCTGTTCCTGTAAAGATTTACAGCCTCAGAAACCCGGTACAGGGTCGTTATGAGTCGGGACCGACTCCACGGCACTTAACAACAACAACAGCGGCACAGTGGAACAAACCAAGCAACCAATGAGATTATACTATGAGCATGACATTATTTTCCGCACCCACCCCCCAAAAAAAATACACAAGGAAAGGAAAATCCAAATCCCTGAACAGTAGGTTGAAAAGAGAATCTGCCATTATGGATTCTATCCAAGGAGTTTGTGAGTAAGATGGGAAAGAGGGGAATGTCAGGGGGACCACCACCATCCACAGTAGGGAATACCCACATTGACTTTTCCTGTCCCTTACCTGAACACAGCACACACACACCACACACACCACATATCACACACTACATACCACACATGTCATACTTATACCCTACATTCACACCGCACGTACACACCCACACACACTCATGGACCTTTTGATGAAGAAGGCAGGGACAGAGGTGAAGGTTCGAAAGTCCTTGGGTTGACTTCAGTTTGAGAGACCTTGGCTAGCTCCCCTCAACTGAAACTTTGTGTTCACTCTCTCTGCTCCATGTCCTTCGACCACTCTAGTTGCAGAACATTTCCATCCCATTCATCTTTCTTGGGCTCCCAAAGACCCACCTGCCTCTGGCACCCCTCCCCATTTCAAAGGTAGACTAAGCATTCTGTGTGTGGAAGAACATTGTATTAATGACTCTGGGGGGTTTGAAATGCACCCTCCTGAAGACCAGAACAGGTTTTCCTTGACATTTTTCTCCTCCAGCTCAATATCTTAAAGTATATCTGGTCCGTAATGACTTCTTCTCCAAGTTCATTTGTCCACTGAATTTCTCCATTCTTCATCCTTCACCCTTTACCACCACAAAATATGGGAGGATTACTTTCAACCCTAGCAGGGCATATTGTGGTTCTTCTAGCCTGCCCCCACAGATATTGTTGTTGTTGTGATGTGCCGTGGAGTCGATTCCGACTCATAGCGATCCTGTCCAGGGTTTCCGAGGCTGTAATTCTTTACGGGAGCAGAAAGCCTCATCTTTCTCCCACGGAACTGCTGGTAGTTTCGAACTGCTGACCTTGCAGTTCGCAGCCCGATTCGTAACCACTATGCTACCAGAGCTCCTTCCATAGATATTAATGCTGTACTTTTAGCAGATTTCTTAGCACCCTGGAACAAGGTAGCCCAATTTTTTTTTAGGACATTTTGAGATCCTTCGGGGGTCAGAGCTCACTCATTTGATCACCTCAGGGGCCAGTAAGTTTTTCATTCATTTTTTTGTGACTAGTTACTGAATGTATGCTATGTGTCAGAAACTGTTCTAGGCACTGAAGATATATCACTGAAAACGACAGAAAAAAAATCCCTGGCCTTTTGGCGTTTACATGCTAGTGGAAGGAGATATGCCATAAGTGAGAAACATGATACATAAGTAATTACACACTATATTGATATCCCTGGGTGGTGCAAACAGCATTGCTCACCACCCAGTGGTACCTCAGAAAACAATCACAGCCATTGAAAACCCCATGGGAGTACAGTTCTACTCTGACACACATGAGCTCACCATGAGTCAGAATCAACGGCAACTGGTTTCTTGGTTTTTGCTGTATATTAGAAGTTACAAATATTATTGAAGAACAGACAGTCAAGTGGAGTAAAGAGGATCAGGAGTGTAGGGGGGCAGTGGTGCAGAATGCAATTTTAAATAATGCGGTCAGTGTCAGCCTCGTTGAGAAGATTTAAAGAAAGACTTAAAGGAAGTGAGGGTGTGGAAGAAAAAGAAAATAGGCAGGCTAAGACTATAAGGCAAGAGTGAGTCTGGCATGTTTGAAGAAGTCAGTCTGGCTGGAGCAGGGTAAATAAGGGGAAGAGTTGTAAGTGATAGGCCAGATTATGTGGCATCTTAAACCATTGTAAAGACTTTGGCTGTACATTCTAAATGAAATGGGGAGATGTGACTTACATTATACTCCTTTGCTGTTCAAGATAAAGGTTTTTTCCCCTATTACTTTCCCTGGAATCCAACTCCTTATATCTCCTGGGAGTTTCCCAACTCTGAGAGCTGATTTATCCCTGGACTTTGCTCTACCCCAAATAGGAAATGTTCAAGGTTCTTGAGTAGGAAGACTTGGCGTTTCTTGAATCCCCATAATGAAAGGTTTTTGGACTCTGCTTGTAGAATACCTTTGTTCTAATACACATTTGAAGAGGGCCAATAAGGAGAAGAGAAGTTGCTTCTAGGGACACTAATCCATTTCTCTTAGTTCAGTTGAAGGCTTATATATTCCTGGGAGAGAGTTTTCATACCAAACTGTCTGTTTGATCTTTGGCATAATTCTTGTTCAGTGAATTTGAAATTCTTCAACCTTTTGAATATTTGCAATCTGGGGAGTCTTGGCTTCCATCTGGTGCTCCCTGGATCTCAATTTTTGGTCCTTCCATTAAAACAAATCTTCTGCGTATGAGTCATGCTGACCAAATGACCATCATTGAATTTCTCTTCTTGCTTATATACCAAATTACCAGTAATCATCATTCATGGTTCCCAGGACTCCTTGAAAGTGTGCACTTGGAGTGCCATCATTCAAAACTTCCTTTTTCCTTTCATGTTTACAGATAAAATTGTTGATAAGGTTTAGGGATTTCTACAAAGAAAATGTGAGAAGGAATATGAAAAAAAACAAAAAAAAAGACTTGAAAAATGTGACAACCCCAGTAATCTTCAGATGCCTGGGTACCATTTTATGGATGGCTTATGTCGGCCTCCGCAAGTGATGGGAAGTGAGACATCCTTGCAGATATTTGTATTGCCCTCTGCCCTAATCCATATACACAAATGCAGCCCCTGAGAAAATCCTGGTATGACTTCTTATGCTAGATGAATACCTAGTGCATGAAACATTACTCTCCTGTTGCCTCTTTTCTCTGTAGGAGTGCTAAGCAATTCATCGTTCATACAGTTCTGCATACTCAACAGATGAGTGAGCCTCTTTGCCATCTGCTTTTCCTCCTGACTGAAACGAGATGACCCCATATTGGAAAGAGACAGTGATGGGAGAGCGGGGAGCAGAGAATAGGCCAACATGGTGGGAGCCAAGAATGTAAAAGGGAATTTAAAGAATACCTTCTGGACATAATGTCCAAGGCTTGAGGATTCTGAAGGGCTTTACAATGGCCAGTTCTGCCCTCTACCCTCAAATTTACCTCATTTATGCTGCCCCCTACCTCACTTTCAGACTTACTTTCCACCTCTTTTTTCCCTGTGCCTCTGTCAAAATTAGACACTGGTTTGGCTCTGTAGGACAAGCACTAGACTGCGAACTACAAGGTTGGCAGTTCAAACCCACCAGCTGCTCCTTGGAAACCCTATACAGGGTCGCTATGAGTCTGAACCAACTAGATGGCAGTTAAAAACTACCACCATCAAAACTTACCTGTTCAGGATCCAACTGCCATAAAGTCTTGGCAGATGGTAGGTGCTAAGCTTATTTATTTGTTCATGTAAGTACTTACTAAATGACCTTCAATGTATGAGACACAGTGCTGTATGTTGAGAATTTAATAAAAAAATAAAAAAAGTTTCTAGGGGAAGTACAATTGGACAAATCGGTTAATCTTTGCCCTTATTCTGTCACTAACTGGCTGTGTGACCTAGATAAATCACTTTCCTTTTCTGAGCCTCAATTTCCTCATCTTTAAATTAAGGAGTTTCAACTACAACAATGTTTTCCAAACTTGCCTAATCATAATACAGTCACCAGGACTACTTATTAACAGTAATAATTCCCAGGCCCCTCTCCTCAAGAGGCAGATTCAGAAGGAGCTGTATTCATTGCTAAGTGCTCTCCTTATGCTGCTGTTGTTAGGGGTGGGACAAGGAGGTTCTGACTCAAAGCATCCTTATTACACCAGAACGAGACACTGCCTGGACCTGCTCGATTTTCACAAATGTTGTCCTGTTTGAACCAATTGTTGCTGCCACTGTGCCAGCCCATTGCCTTGAGGGTCTTCTTCTTTTTCACGACCCTTCACTTTACCAAGCATGATGTCCTTCTCCAGGGGACTGGTTCTTCCTGATAACATTTCTGAAGTACAAGAGATGGCCACCCTTAATTCAAATGCACTAACCCAAGTGTAAAACTCCCATGTTCAAAACTCAGAGTCCCTCTCCACATTCAGGTCAGCTATCTTTTTCCAGTGTCCCCATCATTCCTTTGTACCCCAGCACTGATGCCCCATCTCTACCCCCATCCCATAGCCACAGGAGAGGTCACAGCTGGTAGAGGTGGGACACATGAAATCAGGGGAGGTTTCACAGAGGAGGCTGGGCTTTCAAGGACAGGGTAAAATTTTTCAGACAAAAATCAAGGCAGAGAATGTCTAGAGAGAGACAAGACAGTGTTTATGTCCAAAGCCAGGAATGATGCAAAGGTGTAGAGTACGAGCTCATGAGTCAGGGAGATATGGCTTTAAAATCAAGCTCTAACTGGCCTTCCCATAGCTTCCAGCCCTCTTCTGTGCCATTGTGAACCACACACACACACATACATACACTCCCTGGCAGATAGACAGTTTTTTCAGTATTTTCTTGGTTGTTGTTGTTGTTGAGAATATACACAGCAGAAATCTACTAATTCAACCATTTCTACAATCACAATCCAACTTATAGTTGTACAACCATTCTTACCCATTGTTTCTAAGTTTTTCTTCCATCGTTAACACAACCTCACTTCCCCCTAAGTTTTCTGTCTAATCTTTTGAGTTGCTGTTGTCAAATCGGATCCTGTATAGATAATTCTTAAAAAGAGCACAGTATTCAAGGCAGACATTCTTTATCAATTAAGCTAAATGACTTGTTTGTTTTTTTAAAGACTTCAGGGGATATTTTTGGTATGAGGGTTGAGGTTTAAAGATTATCCCAGGGTAATAGTTTCATGAGTTCATCCAGCTTCCAAAGATTCATGAGAATTTGAAATTCTGTTCTGCATTTCCCTACTTTGGGTCAGGATTCTTCTATGAAGTCTTTGATCAAAATGGTTAATAATAGTAGCCAGACACCATCCAGTTCTTCTGGAGATAACCCCCAAAAAACAAACCTGTTGCCAAGGAGTCAATGGCCACTTACAGTGACTCTACTGACAGAATAGAACTGCCACATGGGGTTCCCAGGGCTGTAATCTCTTTGGAAGCAGACCTCCACATCTTTCTCCCTCAGACTGACTGGTGGGTTTGAACCCAGTAATCTTTCTGTTGGCAGCTGAGCGAACTCACACCCAACTCCCTCCCCACCCTACCACACCCATTATTCCTGTTGTTGCCTAATAGTGATCCTTTATAGAGGATGTCTGGTGGGTTTGAACCACTGCACTACCAAGTCTGGAATTAGATCATCTTGATTGCAGTTTTCTACATGCTAATTCTCTTCTGCCTCTGGCAGTCAAGACCAACTCCCTGACACATTCATCTTACTTCATATGTGCATTTGCCAAGTGGGCAGTCCCTTATCTTCTCTGAACTCTCATTATGAAAATGCCCAATGGTTTTCAAAGAATACGTGGTTCCTATGTTGTCTGATCAAAAACTCTTTGTGGGTGGCTTTGCTAATCAAGTATCTACTCAAATCTCACCTCCTTGTAGAAGCCTTTCCTGGCTACCCTTTTCAGATAAGTAGAATCTACCTTTTACAACGTCTTGATACTTCTTAAGGTTTTTTTTTTTTAGCACTAAAATATTATATATAGATAGATAGATAGATATAGATAGATATATAAAGTCTAAAAAAAATTATAATCCTGTTTATTGTATTCAGGTGACTTTTTTTTCTTTTACACATATATATATATATATATATATATATATGTGTGTGTGTGTGTGTGTGTGTGTGTGTGTGTGGTTTTTTGATTTTGAAATCACTGTAGAATAATAGGAGGTTTTAAAGATAGTAGAGAGATGTCCCATGTATCCTTCCTGCTGTTTGTCCCACTGGCTACATCTTATATAACTACAGCACCATCTCAATACCAGGAAATTCACACTGATATAATGTCTGTGTACAGTTCAATGTCAGTTTATCACATGTGTAGGTTCATGTATCTGCCACCACAAGGTTCCGTCATGTTGTCCTTTTATGTTGTTGTTGACTGCCATCGAGTTGGTTCCGACTCATAGCAACTCTGCTATGAGTTTCCAAGGAGCAGCTAGCTGGTGAGCTTGAACTGCTGACCTTGTGGTTCAAACCAACTTTGCATTCCAGCACATTCACCCACAGTGCCACACCAGGACTCCTGCTTTTTTACAACCATACCCAATTCCCTCCCCACCCTACCACACCCCTTATACCTGTTGTTGTTAACTAATTGTTGTTGTTGTTACGTGCCATGCCCCGTGGAGTCGGTTCCGACTCATAGTGACTCTGCATAGGGTTTCTGAGGCTGTCAATTTTTATGGGAGCAGAAAGCCTCATCTTTCTCCTGCGGAACAGCTGATAGCTTTGAACTGCTGACTATGAGATTAGCAGCCCAATTCGTAGCCACTCTGCTACCAGAGCTCCTTTGTTGACTAATAGTGATTCTGATTAGGAGATGTCTGGTGGGTTTAAGATTCATCCAAGTTATTGTATGTTCCTTGGACTGTGACCCACAAGGTTGGCAGTTCAAACTCACCAACTGCTCCTTGGAAACCCTATACAGGGTGCCCATGAGTCAGGACCGATTTGACGATACTTAACAGCAACAACAGTAGTAAATAGCATTATTGTTTTAACAATAGTATTATTTTATTGCTGAATAGTATGCATGTACTAAAATTTTAACAGTTCATCTGTTGAAGGACATCTGAGTTGTTTCCAGTTTGGTACTATTATAAATAAAGCTGCTATGAATATTCATGTACAAGCTTTTTGTGAGCATAAGTCTATGGGGAAAATGCCCAAAAGAAGTAGAATTGCTGGATTGGAAGGTAAGTGTATGTTTAGTTTTTTTTAGAAACTGCCGAAATATTTTTACAGAGTAACCATTTTATATTCCTATGAAATATGATTTAGATAAAATCCCTGGCTGGCACAAATGGTTTGTACTCGACTACTAACTTAATGCTGTGGGTTAATGCATTGGACTGCAAAGCCAGCTTGAATTGCAAGGTCCGTGGTCCAAACTCACTAGCCACTCCTCGGACACCCTCGTTATGGGTTGAAGCCGAATCAATGGCACTTAACAACAACTACTAACTTAAACTTTTAAAGGTAAAGGTTGGTGGTTTGAACTCACTCAGTAACACCACAGAAGAAAGACTTGGCAATTTGCTTTTGTAAATGTTGTTGCTGTTAGTTGTCATTGCACTCCATAGGGTTTCCAAGGCTGTGTGACCTTTTAGAAGCAGATTGCCAAGCCTTATTTCTGAGGTGCTGCTGAGTGGATTTGAACTGCCAGCCATTTGGTTAATTGTCCTTGTTAAGTGCCATCGAGTTGGTTCCAAGTCATAGTGAACCTTTATAGGGTTTCTGAGAATCAGGTGGTGAGTATGAACCACTGCCCCTGCGATTCAAACTGACCTTGAAGTCCAGTGTTTATCCCATAGCACCACCCCAAGACTCCTTTTAGTTAATAGTCCAGTGTGTAACTATTTGTGCCACGCAGTCAAGAAAATCCTAACATGTAACATTGTAATACTTGGGGTCGCCATGGGTCAGAATCAACTTGATAGCAGTGGGTTTGGCTTTATATATGCTCTGGTAGCATAGTGGTTATGAATTGGGCTGCGAACCGCAAGGTCAGCAATTCGAAACTACCAGCTGTTCTGCAGCAGTTCGAACTCACTAGCTGCTCCTTGGAAACCATATACAGGGTTACTATTAGTCAGAACTGACCTGACGGCACTTAACAACATATAGAAAGGGTGGTGGTGGTGGTGGTGGTGGTGTGCCGTCTAGTTGATTCCAACTCATAGCAGCCCTGTATAGCAAGGGTGGAGAGCATTTTTTTCT